ATATTTTATATTATCTGAATGAATTTACAGGAAGATGAGGACATTTTTATATATTGATTTGTAGAGGAACTGTTATGGAAAATAACTATCTTTACCTGAATTCCATGACTTAAAATTAGCTTTTTCCTCCTATTCACTCCCTCTCGACAGTATGAAAAGAAGAAAGATTTATTGCAGTTTTAACAAGAAGAAGAAAATATAGATAACTTCAAATTTGAGTTGCAGGAAAGTTCTGAAAAAAGGGTGGACGAAAAGCTTAAGTATCCTGAGAGCACAGTAAACCTATTTATTGCTTCATCAACTTGAAGCCTAAAGCCAAAACTGTCATTCTGTCAGATAGGCAAACTTCCCCCGAGGTAAAGCTGAACTTCATGTACCTTAAAATGAACGCAAACCACTGAGTAGTACCAAACTTAAGAATAATTTGCATTTTTAGGACCTCTAACCATAAAATTTAAGAGTTGATTTTGAAGATAAGATGCCTAATTTAAATAGGATATAAATGTCCTTTTCTGATTGGATAGTGCAAGAAAATATACGGGTTTTTTGACCAGATCTGGGCAGCGCATATGAAGAGAGGTTACATTTCTTTCTTTCTTTTTTTTTTTTTTTTAATTTTGGCTGCACTGTCTTAGTTGTGGCACACGGGATCTTCACTGGGGCATGTGGGATCCTTTAGTTGCAGCGTGCCTACTTCTTAGTTGCGGCATGTGGGCTTCTCAGTTGCGGCAAGCGGGATCTACTTCCCTGACCAGGGATCGAACCTGGGCCCCCTGCATTGGGAGCGCAGAGTCTTACCCACTGGACCACCAGGGAAGTCCTGAGGTAGCACTTCTGACCCCCTGCAGCTTTGTCAGCATATTATTGCAGTCACAGTATTGGTTAGTCATCTCCTTTTCTTCGCCAACATAGAAGCTGTGCTGATGGCCTGACCTTCCAACAAAATCCAGTCTGTGGACTCTTTCTCTAATGGATCCATGGGCAAATGGTAGCAAATTGTAGTGTCCTGCTAATTTTTGGAAATTAAAAGCAGGACACTTTCCAGGAAAATGCTTGGCTTTAAAAGGTTCTAAATCTCTCCTGGTCCACTGGCTACTTTGTTGCCCAATCTGATCTTTTTTTTTTTTTTGCGGTAGGCGGGCCTCTCACTGTTGTAGCCTCTCCCGTTGTGGAGCACAGGCTCCGGACGTGCAGGCTCAGCGGCCATGGCTCACGGGCCTAGCCACTCCGCGGCATGTGGGATCTTCCCGGATCGGGGCACGAACCCGTGTCCCCTGCATCGGCAGGCAGATTCTCAACCACTACGCCACCAGGGAAGCACTCCAATCTGATTCTTAATTTACCTTCCTTATCCCAGAGACATTACTGATGGGAAGAGAAAGGCTCTCTTGTCAGCCTTCCCACACTTGTCCTTTGAATCCAAGACCAAGCAAAGATTAGGACATTATGGAGTGTTTAGTGTATTAAATCTAGCAAATTTAGAGAGGCCTAAAAAACTTACTAAATTAGATGAGTTTGTATTTAATTCCTAGAAAAAAAAATCTAACAAAGAAGGACCTTTGATAGTTCATGGTGTGAAGATCCTGCAGGTGCAGTGCGTTTGTCTGTATTGTCAGGGCCCCCAGGGCTCCTGTTCTTTCTGTGTGGTTTGGACGTTGCTCCTGTGTCCTGCACAGAGGGAAGCTGCTTCTCATTTCATCCCTGAGGACACCACTGTGCTTGCTTTCCTAGTAATTGCAAAGTTTGTCCTGAGCCTGTTCTCATCTAGTTTCCTTTATGGCAAAAGGCAAATGTGTTTGAGACAACTGTAGCAATCAAAGTGTAGCCTGGAAATGTGGACCAGGACTTTTCTCTGGTCAAAATGGATCAAAGCTGGCAGATGTAGAAATCCAACTGATTACCTTTTCCATTCCATTCTACCCGGAGGACACCAAAAATACCCTTTGAATGAAAGCACGGATGAAAGCAGGTTTTGATCTCATAGTCTCGCGTAGGTTAAGAATACAGAGTCTCGAGCCTAGTGTGCCCGCTTACCAGCTCTCTACCTTGGGTACATAACTTAGCATCCCTGTGCCTCAATTTCCACACCTTCACAAAGGGGATACAGGAGTACCTACTTCATTGGATTATTTTGAGGATTAAATGAAGTAATATATGTATAGCACTTGGAATTGTGCTAGGCACATAGTAAAATTTAATACAGTTAGCTATTATTATTATCTGTCTCACGTTTTATATAAAAAGTTTGATTTAAGAGGTTTTCAGTTACTCTTGAAATATTTGTATAGAATTTCCATATTTTTTTTCAGGTTATGGTTGAGTCTTCCTAGAAAGCACGATGGAATGTGCTATCTGATGGGTATCATAGATTAGTATATATTGAGTTGTAATTAATTTCAGGGAGTCTCAAGATTGAAGTCTTCAGTTATGTAGAATTATTTATAGAAAAAGTTGTCAAATAGCTAAGTGCACCTGTGTATATGTACTCAGTTGTTCACGTGTTCAACAAATATTTATTGAGCACAGAGAGTGAGCCATACTCTGTTCTAGACCCTGGGAATTTAGAACATGTCAAAGTCCTCACTCTCACATGCTTATGTTCTAGTGAGAAGACAGACCATTAGTAAGTAAACGAATAAATAAACATCATTTCAGAGAGTGCTAAGTGCTATGAAGAAAAAATAGGCTGTTGTGCAAAGGACAAGGGTGGATATGGATAGGATGGCTAAGAAAGGGGTCTCTTGAGGAAATAAAACTTGTTCTGTGATTTACATGACAAGAGGGAGCTATCAGCACTGTTGCGGGAGAGGAAGACACTCCCCCTAAGGGGGTCAGCTAATGTAGAGGGAAGAGCTGGTGCAAAAGGTCTGAGGCGTGAAAGAATTTTGCATGATCAGCGGGCAGGAAAAAAGCCCAGGTGACTGAAACAGTAATGTTGTCTCTGTTTAACACATGTAGAACATGGAGGTTCACACACCTGCCCAAGGCTGTGGTCAGGATAGAGTCAAGAATTGAACTCATGGTGGAGTTTTAGTCACAACATGTTTGCTAGTTTTAGAAAACTTGGTATATCCTATTTTTATTTTGACTTTTGGAAAGTCAAACATGCAGAAGTAATATCACAAGTTCCATGCATCCTTCACACAGCTTCTCCAATTAGCAACTTATGGCCAGTCTTGTTTCATCTGTTCTTACGTCTTTTTCATTTTTTAATGCTTTGATTCAACACAGCAACATTTATTAAGTAGTACCATAAGCTAGATATTGTATTCTGTGAGTATATTAAAGTGAATAAGCCCAAGTCTTTCCTCAGCGTCTCATGATCTAAAAGGAGATGCACAACTATCTATAAATGTGCGTGCACACACACACACACACACACACACACACACACAGTGATCAATAACTGGTATAAACCAAACGTTATGGGTACACAGAAGAGAAAGTAATTAATGCTTTCCTGAGAGGTGGAGAAAATGGGGTTTGGGGAACTCACAGAGTAAGATTATAGGAGGTAGAGATGGCAAGAAAGGGTAATGGGAAAAGAGAGCATTTGGGGGGCAAATGATTGGAATTTCGGGTACTTTGGGAGTAGTGGTGGAGTTAGAAACATGGGTTGGGCCACCTCCTAAAGATCCTCAATCACCACTCTAAGACATTTAAATTCTATTTTGTTGGGAGTGGGGAAGAGTGCAGTGATATTAACAAAGAACTGGGATGACTGGATCAGTATTTATGATAATAATGCCAGTGGCAGTGTGGAGCATAGATTTGACCTCCAAATCTGTGGGCTTGAGACAGGGAAATGAATTTGGAGTCTGGGCAGATGAAATGCTAAATAGAGTTGCATAAAATTGTTGAATCACTGAAGTGGGCTGAAGAGGTGGATCAGATAAAGCCTTCTGGAGAAGATGGCTTTTGGCCTTGATCTTAGATATGAAAACATAGATGGAAAATGAAGGGAGGGGGTTTCAGTATAAGTATAAGGGAAGAGTACGTTCAAAAGCAGAGGGCTACAAAATCACAAGGAATGTTCAGGAACTCGCATGAAGGGACATGAAGCCAGCCAGCTAGCTAGCATGCTGTTAAAGTAGTGCCAGCAAAAGGTGGTGAGGGCCTGAATGAATTCAGAGACAGGCAGTCGGGGCAGGACTTGGCGACTAACAGGGTACGGAGGGTGAAGGAGAGAAATGAGTTGCAATCTTAGGTTTCTAGACTGAGAGTATTTTAAAAGGTAGAACATTTAACAAGATGGAAAGTATAAAGGCAGGTTCACAAGAAAAGGTAATTTGTATAGCTGTACACATGCTTAGTATGTTGTCTGTGGAACATTTGGAAGGAAATACCTGGTAGGCATTTGGAAATTCAGGTGTAGAAAGTATCAGCACATTTGGAGTCATCAGCAAGAGGTGATGAGAGGCTGAAACTAATGAAATAGTGACTATTTGATGGTGTTTTCCTTTTATAATGACAAACCAGGTGTAACCAAATCCTTTATGAAACATCTCACTCTGCTCCATATAGGTCAGAACATGACCCTCCAGAATAGTGATGTTTTGTGTATTGATTGCTCCCTATCCCGGATGATACAACCAGCATCTTTTTTTTTTTTTTTTCCGGTACGCGGGCCTCTCGCCGTTGCAGAGCACAGGCTCCGGACGCGCAGGCTCAGCGGCCGTGGCTCACGGGCCCAGCCGCTGTGCGGCATGTGGGATCTTCCCGGACCGGGGCACGAACCCATGTCCCCTGCATCGGTAGGCGGACTCTCAACCACTGTGCCACCAGGGAAACCCAACCAGCATCTTTTGTAGAGGGGCTGTCTCTGCTTTCCCACGTGATGTTTATAATGGTATTCTGTTCTGACAGTAACTTAGAACAGTAATTCAGTTGGGGATGCTAGAGCTGCCTTTGATCATAAACATTGCTGTAACTTATTAATTTCACTGAATGCAGAGTTGTGTTTCTCTACCGTCTCACAGAGTTTCTGTTTCATATTTCAGGTTTCATCGTCCATAATGAAGTGCGGGACTCTTTGGAAACAGACTGATCATCTTTGGGGGAATCCTCGCTTCCTGAAAACCTGATATTGCACTGGGATTTGAATGTGTGTGTTTCCGCTTAACTTGTGGTGAAGGAAGCGTGTGGAACGTGCTCCCCACCTATACAGCCCGGATAGGCCAACAAGCAAAGGGAAGGGTGCAGCGACTCTGCTGTCCAGCATGTGGATTGATGGTAAGAGATACCATGGTTACACCACTTCTTCATCAGGAGTTCTAATCAAAGAAGATGAGCAGAAGACAATCGCTGGTTCCCTGTTGCCAGAAAGCCACATTTCAGAGTGCAAGTTAAAGAAGAATGGGGAATGGAATTTCTGAGCACTGGAGAGGGGTGGGGGGTTGAAAATCAGAAAGCAAGGGAAATACTTCATTATGTTAATGAAAAGAAGAAATGGAAGCATAAAGGTATTTTCAAAGTAGGCTTTTGGTAGTTGAGAACTTATTAAGGGATTTGGGAGTTTAATCACCCAAGGTGGATTTCCTGAAGACCTGACCCTAGAGGAATATTCTTGTTTCATCATTATATTGGTACAGTGTCGTACCATTATTTTTTGGTTGTGCCAGTGAATTCAGTTGCCAGAAATAAGTCTGAGTGTTTTCATGTATCTTTTTCTTAAATGCGAGAGGCTTTTACTGACTCTTAATAAGCATGCTTACCCAAATTTTGTTGCATGCTTTAAGTAGCATAGCTATACATACTTTACATTTTTTTTAAATACTCCTTACCTAATGTACCAACCTTCCACAAGGATTATAGGACTGGGAATAAAGTCAGATGTAATTATTCGACCCTATAAATCTGTAGCAGGCTTTAGAAATAAATCTTTTGGTCTTTCCCTAGCTTGATTATCTCCAATGTTGAAACCATCATACTTGATCTAAAGAAGATAATATCGACAATCATGGCACCTTTTTAAAAAGTCTGAATCCAAAGTTAAAACTTAAGCAAAATGCAAGTTTTCTGCCAGCAGTTAGCTCTGAATAGGAATGAAAAGAACTACTTATTTTCCATGCTGCATTAAGTTGGATTGCTGCTATTAAAAAAACAAAGCACATGGATTAAAAAAATACTCACCCAGAGACTTAAAAGAACAGAAACTTTCTGCTAAGTTGTAAGTGAGGAGAACCTCATTTGATATTTTAAGAGTCTGCAGATCGCATCCATAAATATAGCCTTGACTTTCAGTGCAAAATAATCAGTGAGATTAAAGTTATGGAAGATTTCCCTATGAGCCTACAGTCAATGTCGTTTACATTAAGAAGTCCTCTATTGTCATCTTACTGTTTTCCATGGAGTCACAGGCATAGTATGGCTTCTGCTCCCATATGACCATATGTAAATACCACCTTGCATTTAATTGTTCTTTCATGATTGTTTTGTGCCCCTTTTATTAAAAACACATGAGATGGGCTTCCCTGGTGGCGCAGCGGTTGAGAGTCCGCCTGCCGATGGCGGGGACGCAGGTTTATGCCCCGGTCCGGGAAGATCCCACATGCCGCGGAGCGGCTGGGCCCGTGAGCCATGGTCGCTGAGCCTGCGCGTCCGGAGCCTGTGCTCCGCAACGGGAGAGGCCGCAACAGTGAGAGGCCGCAACAGTGAGAGGCCCGAGTACCGCAAGAAAAAAAACCAACAACACATGAGATGTATAACAACAAGACAAGACCTAAATAGACTTTATTTTATTCTCAGAGTTTGGACTAGGATTTTCTGAAATGATTCTGGTGCGTTATATGGAAAACTGTAATTTTCTATTTCAACCAAAAGGCAAACATTTAATCTGGTGGACAAATTTGGATCCTGCCATTCATTTACATTTTAAAGAACCACTTAAAATTGGATGATTTTGCTTCAAAAATAAAAAAAAAATTTAGTCCCACTTAGCCTATTACAAAAAGCCAGGACCATTTTATAACTAAGAAAAGTAGCCAGCGTTGCTGGCACCTCTTGCTGTACTCAGCTATATGCATTAATAAAATAAACCTAGAATTCTACACTATTGTCATTTCCTTGATAGAGTAAAAGATATATTTTTGTTTTGAAAAACTTCTTCTGCATGCCCAAGTGTCTTTCTCTGGCTGAAGTTTTATCTATTTCATAGTGTTTAAATCCAGCCATAGATATTAACTATGTTCCAGTTTTTTGCTGAAGCCATGTTTTTCCTTATGATATTGTTTTATTGTCATTTTAGTGTCTTGGGAAAAATACCAAGGAATGTAGTGTTATTTTAATTTTCTATACTTATAATCTTAGAACATCATTTTAATTTCTAATCACAAGGCCTCTATAAAAAAGGGCAAATATAAGACACTTATCACTGTTTTATCACTCAAGATACATATCATAGAAAGTCTCTATTTGGTTGATAAAAGGAACAACTTTTTTCCCACTAGCAGTACATGTGATACAGTTTTTTTATTCCCTAC